CTGGAGTCTACCTGAAGGTTACCTGGAGTCTACCTGAAGGTTACCTGGTGTCTACCTGAAGGTTACCTGGTGTCTACCTGAAGGTTACCTGGTGTCTACCTGAAGGTTACCTGGAGTCTACCTGAAGGTTACCTGGAGTCTACCTGAAGGTTACCTGGAGTCTACCTGAAGGTTACCTGGGGTCTACCTGAAGGTTACCTGGTGTCTACCTGAAGGTTACCTGGGGTCTACCTGAAGGTTACCTGGTGTCTACCTGAAGGTTACCTGGTGTCTACCTGAAGGTTACCTGGGGTCTACCTGAAGGTTACCTGGGGTCTACCTGAAGGTTACCTGGAGTCTACCTGAAGGTTACCTGGAGTCTACCTGAAGGTTACCTGGAGTCTACCTGAAGGTTAGCTGGATTCTACCTGAAGGTTACCTGGAGTCTACCTGAAGTCTACCTGAAGGTTACCTGGAGTCTACCTGAAGGTTACCTGGATTCTACCTGAAGGTTACCTGGAGTCTACCTGAAGGTTACCTGGAGTCTACCTGAAGGTTACCTGGAGTCTACCTGAAGGTTACCTGGAGTTTACCTGAAGGTTACCTGGGGTCTACCTGGTTACCTGGATTCTACCTGAAGGTTACCTGGTGTCTACCTGAAGGTTACCTGGTGTCTACCTGAAGGTTACCTGGTGTCTACCTGAAGGTTACCTGGAGTCTACCTGAAGGTTACCTGGAGTCTACCTGAAGGTTACCTGGAGTCTACCTGAAGGTTACCTGGAGTCTACCTGAAGGTTACCTGGAGTCTACCTGAAGGTTACCTGGAGTCTACCTGAAGGTTACCTGGAGTCTACCTGAAGGTTACTGGAGTCTACCTGAAGGTTACCTGGAGTCTACCTGAAGGCTACCTGGAGTCTACCTGAAGGTTACCTGGAGTCTACCTTAAGGTTACCTGGAGTCTACTTGAAGGTTACCTGGAGTCTACCTGAAGGTTGCCTGGAGTCTACCTGAAGGTTACCTGGAGTCTACCTGAAGGTTACCTGGAGTCTACCTGAAAGTTACCTGGAGTCTACCTGAAGGTTACCTGGAGTCTACCTGGAGTCTACCTGAAGGTTACCTGGAGTCTACCTGAAGGTTACCTGAAGTCTACCTGAAGGTTACCTGGAGTCTACCTGAAGGTTACCTGGAGTCTACCTGAAGGCTACCTGAAGGTTACCTGGAGTCTACCTTAAGGTTACCTGGAGTCTACTTGAAGGTTACCTGGAGTCTACCTGAAGGTTGCCTGGATTCTACCTGAAGGTTACCTGGAGTCTACCTGAAGGTTACCTGGAGTCTACCTGAAGGTTACCTGGAGTCTACCTGAAAGTTACCTGGAGTCTACCTGAAGGTTACCTGGAGTCTACCTGGAGTCTACCTGAAGGTTACCTGGATTCTACCTGAAGGTTACCTGAAGTCTACCTGAAGGTTACCTGGAGTCTACCTGAAGGTTGCCTGGATTCTACCTGAAGGTTACCTGGAGTCTACCTGAAGGTTACCTGGAGTCTACCTGAAGGTTACCTGGAGTCTACCTGAAGGTTGCCTGGATTCTACCTGAAGGTTGCCTGGATTCTACCTGAAGGTTACCTGGATTCTACCTGAAGGTTACCTGGAGTCTACCTGAAGGTTACCAGGAGTCTACCTGAAGGTTACCTGGAGTCTACCTGAAGGTTACCTGAAGTCTACCTGAAGGTTACCTGGAGTCTACCTGAAGGTTGCCTGGATTCTACCTGAAGGTTATCTGAAGGTTACCTGGAGTCTACCTGAAGGTTACCTGGAGTCTACCTGAAGGTTGCCTGGATTCTACCTGAAGGTTGCCTGGATTCTACCTGAAGGTTACCTGGAGTCTACCTGAAGGTTACCTGGAGTCTACCTGAAGGTTACCTGGAGTCTACCTGAAGGTTGCCTGGATTCTACCTGAAGGTTACCTGGAGTCTACCTGAAGGTTACCTGGAGTCTACCTGAAGGTTACCTGGAGTCTACCTGAAGGTTACCTGGAGTCTACCTGAAGGTTACCTGGAGTCTACCTGAAGGTTACCTGGAGTCTACCTGAAGGTTACCTGGAGTCTACCTGAAGGTTACCTGGAGTCTACCTTGAGGTTACCTGGAGTCTACCTGGAGGTGGTGTTCTCCAGGTAGGAAGTTATGTGATAAAATAAGATATATAAAAACACTGGAAATACAAACCTCTTCATTTACATTTGTGTAAAATATCTTGAAAATACACTATTTGCATGTTATATTCACAGTTAAAATGCAAATTCTCTTCAAATTAGATGCAATGGCCTGTATGTGTGTATGTGGTGTGTGTATGTGTGTGTATGTGTGTGTGTGTGTGTGTATGTGTGTTTGTGTGTGTGGTGTGTGGTTATGTGTATGTTGTTCATGGTGTGTGTATGTGTATGTGTGTTTGGTTGTGTAGTGGTTGTGGGTTATGTGAGTGTTGTGTGTTTTATGTGTGTTTGGTGTGTATGTGTGTGTGTGTTGTGTTATGTTGTGGTTGGTTGTGTTGTGTGTTGATGTGTTATGTGTGTTGGTGTGTATGTGTGTGTGTGTGTGTGTGTAGTGTGTGTGTGTGATGTGTGTTGTGTGTGTTGTGTGTGTGTGTGTGTGTTGTGTGGTGTGTGTATGTTTATGTGTGTGTGTTGTGTGTGTGTGTGTGTGTGTGATGTGTTGTGTGTGTGTGTGTAGTTATGTGTGTGTGTGTTGTAGTGTGTGTGTGATGTGTGTGTGTGTGTGGTGTGTGTGTGTGTGTGTATGTGTGTGTGTTGTGTGTGTTGTGTGTGTGTGTGTGTGTGTGTGTGTGTGTGTATGTTTTGTATGTTATGTGTGTGTTGTGTGTGTGTGTGTGTGTGTGTGTGTGTTTGTGTGTGTGTGTGTGTGGGTGTGTATGTGTGTGTGTGTGTGTGTGTGTGTGTGTATGTTGGAGGGGGAGACATAATTCATTTTTCTACTGTTATGTGGCAACATTTTTGGCATCAATATCAACATTCAAATTTTCACTGATGTAGCAAATATGGTAGAGGAATTTTGTTTATATTTTGTTTAATAAGTTCCATTATGTCGTACACGGTTACAAATGTTTCCAAAGGTATCGGTGTTTTGAACAGCTGTACTCACGGGGAAGCGCCAGACCTGTCTGGGCCATAACAGCGCATGGGGGAGTGGGAGGTGATCAGGTGAGATTCTAGGATGGGGAGGATACCTACCCGGAGGGGGGTTAGCCCCCGTGGCCCATTGTCTCCCTTGAAGGATGTAGGGGGTTGTCACGAGAGGGCAGTTGCTGGACGGAGGATCGAGCCTCCCTCGCCCACGGGGATTTACTGCTTCGTGAACGATTACTTTGTCTGCACAGTACATTGCCCTTTGAAAGAAGCCCAGAATGAAGTGGTCCATGAAACACTTTCGGGAGAAAAGTGGACCGTCATCAGTTTCAAGTGCCTGATCACCCTAACTGTCTTGGCTATATAGGCTTTCGAGTCGCTGGAAGCAACAACCTGCTTCACCAACCATTCGACAAGAAATAATGGAAAAAATACTAAAAAAAAACCCACAAAACCATGGCTGAAACAATTCATCAAAAAACCCTGCAGCCCGAAACATTTATATATATTAATAATAAAATTTATATATATTATAATAAAATATATATATATATATATTAATATATATATATATATATATAAACATAATCGGCCGAATAGGAGAACTTGCGAACTTGGCTTAAATAGCAACGCTCACTTGCCATATAGGACAAGTGAAAATTTGGTATAAATAATTTTCGCCAAAATCATTCTGAACCTAACGAAAAAAATATATTTACGTTTTTGTTTGTATTAAATTACTGTAAACAAATCAAAATATATTAGTTGGGTTGGGAAAAAATAAATTGCGCTTGTTATAATAAGTTTAGGAAAGTTTTCTAAGATTCTTTTGGTGCAAAAAAAAAAAAAATTACTTAACATAATAAAAAAAATAATTTTTAAACGAAATAAGAGAAAATTTCAGAAAGGATTTAAATTTTAAAGAGTTCTTGCAAAACTGACCGTTTTACATATTCGGCACACAATATTATATTGTCACCCCCTTTGGGTTTAAACCCTTTCCCTTTAATTTTACATTGCGGTTATTTCCTTTAATAGCTAAATTGGAAATGAACGTCCTTGTATTATTAAGACAATCTTATTAACAATTATTATAATATATGTAAATGGCCCATGATAAGTTAATATGGAGGTATAGTAACCTGCCTGCCGCCCTGTTGTGCCGGTGTATAGTTTAGCCGTGATGTTTGATGTTTAAAATAACCCCCCCCCTTCCCCCCCCCCCTTTATGTTCAACTACTCTGAGTGTTGATATAGGTACTTTGACCACTTTATGTATGCTCAAGTTTGGGGAGGACAGGAGTTGAAAAAGTTAGCAGCCAACGAGAACACTCCTTGCTCGTCTCTGGTAATGGCCAAGGTTTATAATCCGGCCTGGATATATTCTGTTTTATTCTGACTGTTCAAAATTGTGTAACAAGACTTTATACATTAAAGTAATCTCCATTTAAAATATATGTTATATCTAGGAATCTCCTCCTAATTGTCTTTTTGAAAGCCTTATGTATAATTGGATATTATGAAGAAACATGTATTCTTAACTTATATACGATAATTCGTTATATTAAACTGGCTTTTGTTATATTATGAATATACTTAATTAAATTAGAAATTCCGGAGGATCATTATTACCCTAACCTCTCTGACCAAAATTGTTATGCTCTAAAAAGAAGGAAATAGTTTTTACAATTTACTTGATGTAACAATATATATATATAATATATATATATATATATAATATATATATAATATATATATAACACTTGTGCATCTTTCTGTGCTGGACTGAGGAAGCCACAGGCTGGCGGATCCTCTCCCACATTCAGGATATCCAAGCGCTGAACAAGTGTCTGATTCATCAATAAACATTAGTGTACTCACCTTGTTTACACTCTGATCGGACGTTGGACTCCAGTGTGTCCATCTGGATCTGTATGCGCTTGTACTCTCTCTCAGCCTGGTTACTCTTGCGTCTGTACACCACCAGGATCACCATAGACACCAGCAACAGGAACATCCCTCCCGCAGCCATACCACCTATCGCCTCGGGTGGAAACTGGTACTCCTGAAGCAAACCAACATTATCTTCATTTTGATTTTTCCCCCTTTCATAATTATGACCTTTATGATTAGAAAATAGCATATTATGGTAAAAGAAAAGAATTTCTATTATCGAAACACACGGCATGTGCAACGGTGTGCAGGGGCATGTATACACACGCGTGCACACGCACGGACGCATATACTAGTGTCTAATCGACATGTGCCTAGAACAAAGTGGTAACACACACACACACACACACACACACACACACACACACACACTTCCAAGACTATCGAGAACTAGATAAATATTATTCCAAAATTAGTTAAATTCATAATAAACAAAAATCCTCCAGTCTGCCAGTGACACTTCCCATACATTATTATTATTATAATCATGGAGTAGCGCTAAACCCGTAGGATTATGCAGCGCATCTGGGGGTGTGGAAGGTATTCAGGCTCAATTCAGGGAACCGCAGCACAGATCCAATTCCCTAGATCAAGAGCCCCTCACCAGCGTCAAGGAACCTCCTTTGAGGGGGACCTCCCATACAGCAGCCTGTATTTACCCACGGAAGATTTAGGTTGTACCACCAAAGTGGCTAGTTTATTGTGCACCCCATAATCATCCTGTGGACGGTAGCGCTACAGCATATGGATGCACAAAAGGTCTAGGAACTAGTCACCAAAAGGGTTAACAGGAACTAGGCCCCAAAAGGGTTAACAGGAGTAGGCTCCAAAAGGGTTAACAGGAGTAGGCTCCAAAAGGGTTAACAGGAGTACATCTGGATTTATATCTGTAGCTCACTTATCTGGTCCCCTCAAGGAAGGTTCCTTGATGTTGGTGAGGGGCTCTTGATTTAGGGAATTGGATCTGTGCTCCAGTTCCCCGAATTAAGCCTGAATGCCTTCCACATCCCCCCCCAGGCGCTGTATAATCCTCCGGGTTTAGCGCTTCCCCCTCGATTATAATAATAATCACTTATCTGGTACAAACAAATTTAGAAAATTTGCTTAACATATCTGGTATCTTATTTTCATTAATATCTTGACATGTCACGGAAAAATACACACAGTTGAAATACAGTATCAAATACAGTCCATCAGTCTTGAAAAGATTGATGGACTGATTACATCGTCTCCAGGCTGAGGGACTGATTACCACAAAAACCTTTCTAATCTTCATTATTCTTTGTATGGACTGATGAAGCCATTGTGTGGCGAAACGTTTCCTCAGTAAAGATACCCAAGTGTTGCATATGCACTGCAATGACTTGAAGAATCACGTAACTAAGCAAAAGAGTCTTCCATAAGTCTGGCTCTGCCACATAACCTCATTCCATTTCTGACGGAAATTCTACCATTCCAAAACAATGGTTCCCTGTTAACGGCTTTGCATCACTTTCCACGCCACTGTGAAATTACCCGAAACTGATGTGCGTAGTTTAATGCAGTGTTTGGTTGATGGGGTTTGAAGCCTATCGACTAAACTAGGGACATTAGCAAAATCGAACAAAAATATTGTAACCCCTAATATACAGATTTTTAAGCAAAGTCTCTGCGTATATACGCTGAGAAAATACACCTTTTGGTGTATATTGTGTTAATAAAACATAGCGAATATACAGTTTTATTAAAACTAAAGTATATACTAATTAAAGATATAAAAATAAAAAGATAATGAATTATCGAGTTTTGATGAAATATTCGTCTTTATTAAGCAAATAAGTGAAAATTTAAATTTATACATAAATTGATAAAAGCTGATATTCCTTTGTTTATATTTAACTAGCGGACTGACGCTGCTGTAAGCGTTCATCTCGTCAAATATTTGGGCTGATATTTGTAAATATAATTCCATTATAATGAATACAGCGCCCTTGGTCACGGTGGACGCCCGGGCAACTATTGAAACTTCATTACAATGAGATTTGGCGAGTGTGAATAGTACTGTGAATAGTACTGTGAATGTACTGTGAATGTATGTGAATATACTGTGATAGTACTGTGATAGTACTGTGAATAATACTGTGAGTAGGACTGTGAGGACTGTAAAGAGTACCGCAAATATTATTTTAATCAAGACAGCCCTTGAAGCAGGGCGGGGATGACTTAATGTCTGTGGTTCAGAGAACTGCAACAACTTGCAGTTCTTTGGATCGAATCTGATAACCCGGAATTCCCCGGAAACTGTATTACCCCTGTGTGTTTAGAGCTTTCCATAAATATGCATACTTACTCTTAGGATTATTACTGTTAGATAAGTGTCAACCTCACGTGGTGAAAAAAAATAACAATCGTGGTTAATTCTGCTTACCTTGATCATCTCGTAGCGGAGATAGCCGATGGAAAATCTAAGGTTCTGACCCATCCTGACGACCACCAAGGGCAGGTCGTGCTGGGTGGCATGACCCAGCTCGTCGGTGGGAGGCGGCTGCACCTCCGGGGGTGTACACACCAGCTGCGTCAGTGCCAGTGATGTCACATTGCACTGGCGAGTCCCGATGGTCACGTTGACGTCAGACTCGTCGCTAGCAAGGTTCAAGTTTTCGCCCTGAAACGTGCGAAAAAGTCTGTACAGTTGACGGCATTTATTAAGGTCAGGTTATACACGTCTGGTGAAGGTGCTGAAAGAATAAGTGGGAAGGCAGACAGCAAAATGCCTTCAAATCCTTTGAATTTGATTAGCTGAAGGGTTGAACCTCCACCATTCCTTGTGCTAAATGAACCAATCGGGTCATGAAATAAAATAGAACACTGACAGGACTAACCGTAGCTTAGCTTCCTCTAACTCTTGGTTAGATACTTAGGAGAGTGAAAAATAAGGACAACGAGAGAAGGAAATGGAAAGAGAGAGAGAGAGGGAATTGAGGAGATAGGTAGGCAGGCATCTATTTATCTATCTGTTGTCATCGCTCATCAAGCCTTATAACAGTATCATGTTGAAGACCTCACCTCTATGACCAGAGTGTCACCCTTGTAAAGCTTGATGCTGTTGGGAAACTTCTTGTAGGTCGGGTCGAGAACATAAACGAGTGAGCGGGCGGAGGACGACAAAATGTGTCTCAGGTTTCTGACGGAAGCCACGTTGTCCATGATGAAACCTACGTCCAGGGCAATGGAATCCCCGTAGTTTTGACGCGGAGACCTGTGTACCCCAAGGGGATGATCTACATTTTAAATTTCGTCCCTATGCTTTGTCTTGCTGTTTCGACAAATTATTTTGTAACTAACAAATCCTTCAAATTTTTGTGTACTGTTACTGAGTTCGATAATCTTTCACTACATCCAAAATATCAAGCTTATTTTACTGGCAAATTTTTACAAGAGCATAGTAATATATTATGAGCTTCAAAAAAAATCACTCCATTACCGTGTAAAATAAACACGTGATAAAGTATCAACAAACCTTGAGACTTTATGAGAGACTCTGGCCTGCGCTCTTGGGTTAGTCTGGTCATCGAGCGCTTCCCGTCTCTCCCGCAGCAGCGCCAGCAGCGCATTGCGGTCGACGGGCGGCGAGGGGCACTCCATCTGGTCCGGTCCCAGCACTCGACACCCAGACGAGTTTAAGATGCGATCCTGCAGAAGCACGGTGATGCGCGGCGCCTGAATTGCGTCTAACTGCGTGCCGTGCACAGTCAACATGCGTCCGCCACTCCAAGGACTTCGTCGGGGCTTGAGTTCGAGTACTCTTGGGTCAGGCGTGTACGTGAAAGGGGAGTTTAGAGTGCGTCGAGCACCATCCACTGTCACCACTAGCGTGCGCACTTTTCTGGGCAAACCTTCGCCTTCTTCACCCACGTCTCCAGACGCTGACGCCCTTGACGTGACGCACACCAGTCGCTGCGATGACGACTGCGTTTTGTTGACGACGCAAGGAAGATCGTCGAGCTTAGCAGAGACATGGGAGCCCACGTTGAGGAAACGACCACTGATGGAGAGCACAGTTCCTCCAGACACTGGTCCATGTGACGGCCACACACCCGTCACACTCACGTTCTGCGCAAGGAAAAGTCAATAACATTAAAAAAAAAAAAACATTCATATCTAACCCACAAACTGGAAATAGAAACACTACGAGGTTTCATCTCGGTCTATCCCAAACCTTTATAAATCTCACGACTTGATAATGGTTGTAAGATGAACAGAAAGGCAGTTTAGTTTCCATCTCTCCTCATGTGGGTAAGGAATTGCTCCAGCCACAGCGTTGTGGCGTTTGTATTTGACTTGCAAAACAGCATAATAAACATATGCAATAAAGCCGCCTTGTCTTATCCGCTGCCTCTATGCTCACTTACGCTGAAGGGAAAGAGCGAACCTCTGCATTCTCTCTCTCTCTTTCTTCATGATCATTACGAAGACCAACCAGAAGCCTAAATGTCTGCGCATCTCCTTTCCGCGAAGAACGGATATATTTCACGTGAAGTTATAAACCCGTGTGGATCATACCCGCGAAGGACGGAGACAAATGGATCAATAGGCTTATCCCTATCCAACTCTTTGACGAAGGACCCACACGGATTTAGCAACCCACATAAATATAACGCCCAAAATATATTGCGTTTTATTCACAAATAACCCCCACATAGAATGAAACTTATGACGATGTTTCGGTCTGACGTGGACTCTTAATGGCCCAAGTCGGACCGAAACGTCGGCATAAGTTTCATTCCACTCTGTGCGGGTTATTTGTGTATTCCAGTCACGGTATTGTGGATTATTATTCTTTGTGTCGTATTAAGATACTTGTGGGTATCCGACACCATTGATACACAAATACTCACAGTGTAGGTGAATTTCACGGTGGACTTGGTGGTTCCTGCTGGCGTGGTGACGCTGACGGGGAAGTGCAGGTTCTGAGAACCTGCAGCAGCTCTGTTCGGCGCCGGCCCCGTGCGACACAGGATCTTGACGGACACGTGGTATTCGTGCACATGGCAAGGGACATCACCTATGAAGATGTGTCCACGAACGTCCTCCTCCCTCAGGCCCAGGTTGCTGCCTTCGATGGCCACCAGAGTGCCACCTTCCAGGGGACCCGCCAGCGGCTGGATCTGAACAACAGGAGAGACGACGGAGTTAACTTCACCTGGAGGATTTACAAGTATTTGTGGCCCTTGAATATGGAAAGGAGGTGAGAAGGAAGACTGAAGGAGAATACAAAGGGTTGAAAGACAGTAGTATGGGAAACGCAGAAGAGGAGGAGGAGGAGGAAGAGAGGAGGAAGAGGAGGAGGAAGGAGAGGAGGAGGAGGAAGAGAGAGAAGAGGAGGAGAGAGAGAGAAGGAGGAAGAGAAGGAGGAAGAGAAGGAGGAAGGAAGAGGAGGAGGAAGAGGAGAGAGAGGAAAGGAAGAGGAGGAGGAACAGGAAGAGGAAGGAGGAGGAGAAGAGGAAGAAGAGGAGGAGGAGAGGAGGAGGAGGAGGAGGAGGAGGAGGAGGAGGAGGATGAGGATGACAAATGAATAGTGTCCCAACCACTTTGGCTTCTAAGTCAGAATGAGGTGTACACAGTACAGTAACGTCTCTCAGCGAAACTACATAAAAATATATAGAAATTGACGTAGAGTACCTGAGTGACCACTATGGGTTCACCAACTTTCCCATGATAATAATAATAATTCTTGAGTAAATACATGAGAGAGAAATATAACAGATTTTAGGGTCTATATCAAGAATATTTACACTGTGGTGTCTGCACACTCTTATTAAGAGAACAGTTGAATGAGTGATGGTGAACGTGTTTTCTTCTTTGGGCCACCACACTTCTCTGGGAAACGGCTGCCTCCCAGAACTATGCCAAGAGGCCTTCACCATGCCCCATTGCCCTGATATTTTTTTCCCGATTTGTGGCTTTTGGCGCAACCTAAGTTATTTATTTTATTTATTCATTTATTTTTATTTGTACATGATACATAGCTGTACAAAGAAATATAGTGATTGGGTGTACATGCCAAAAGCCCCTTGTATGCAGGGCATTATGGGCAGCTTAAAATTAACTTAAGATTAACTAAGCAATGATATATTCAGTGGTAAAAATTACAGTAAACAAATTACAACATGAAGTACAAATGAGTATTTTAAATAAGAAGCTTTAAAGTTGTACAAATTTGTAGAATAACAATGTATAATATAATATAATTCGATCAAATCAAGTAAAACCAACGATTTGTAGTGCAGAAACAGGTCACTTGATCATTAGATGAGTTACTGTACATTCAGGAGAATATTCTATTAGGTAATGTAATTAAAAAAAAACAGTTTGATAGGGTCACAGGTTATACATTTATAAGATACAGTTATTCAGTATTTATTTAGTTGTGGCTGAGTAAGTGGCTTTAAGAAGAATCTTGAATTGATAAACAGACAGTGTTTCTTTTATATTCACAGGTAATGAATTCCAGATTTTTGGGCCTTTTATGTGCATTGAGTTTTTACATAGTGTGAGATGGACACGAGGAACATCAAAGAGTGATCTGTGCCTTGTGTTAAGGTCATGTGTTCTGTTGAGGTTGGTAAGGAGATGTTTGAGGGGAGGGTTTATATCCGAGTTTAGTGTTCTATGTATGTAGTAGGTACAGTAATAAGTATAGTTGTTTTGTACAGTGAGTAAGTTTAGAGTTTTGAATATTGGTGGAGTGTGCTGCCTGGAGTGGGAATTTATCATCATTCTAGGTTAGAATACTGCTGTACATTAACATCTCCATTCAAGGCAGGTGAAATTGCAGAACTAGAGAATGTACAGAGAACCTTTACTGCACGTATAAGTTCCATCAAACACCTTAACTACTGGGAACGCCTGGAAGCACTTGACTTGTACTCACTAGAGCGCAGGCGAGAGAGATATATAAAAATCTACACTTGGAAGATTCTGGAGGGACTGTTCCCTAATATGCATACAGCAATCACTCCATACGAAAGCAAAAGACTTGGCAGGCGATGCAACATACCCCCAGTGAAAAGTAGGGGCGTCACTGGTACACTAAGAGAAAACACAATAAGTGTTCGGGGCCCAAGACTGTTCAACAGCCTCCCACCAACAATAAGGAGCATTACGGGAAGACCCCTGGTTGTCTTGAAGTGGGAGCTGGAGAGATACCTAAAGACGGTGCCGGATCAGCCGGGCTGTGGTTCGTACGTTGGATTGCGTGCGGCCAGCAGTAACAGCCTCGTTGATCAGGCCCTGATCCACCGGGAGGCCTGGTCACAGACCGGGCCGGTCCACGACCAGGCGTTGATCCCCAGAATGCCCTCCAGGTAGCCTTTTGTTGGGTAATTAATGGTCTGAGATGATCTATTGTTCTTGAGCCCCATGCACAAATTCCATAGGTGAGATAGGGGTAAATGAGTAAGTGATATAGGGCTGTTCGTCTCAAGGAAGGTTCCTTGACGCTGGTGAGGGGCTCTTGATCTAGGGAATTGGATCTGTGCTCCATTCCCTTAAATTAAGCCAGAACGCCTTCCATCTACCCCCCCCCCATAGGCGCTGTATAATCACTACGAATTTAGCGTTCCCCCATAATATATGGATGCTGTAGACCGTGCCTGGTGCACCAATGTGGAACCTTCAATGTGGGACCTTCAATGTGGGACCTTCAATGTGAGACCTTCAATGTGGGATCTTCAATGTGGGATCTTCAATGTGGGACCTTCAATGTGGGACCTTCAATGTGGGACCTTCAATGTGAGACCTTCAATGTGGGATCTTCAATGTGGGATCTTCAATGTGGGACCTTCAATGTGGGACCTTCAATGTGGGACCTTCAATGTGGGATCTTCGTCACTCTCCTCCCTATGTTTATTTATTTATTGTTCATTTGTGTATTTTTTGACTGATATGCATGTTTTAACACGGAATGAAATTTCTCGATTTACAATATCAACATCTCGTGTACCATTAACTGCTGTTTTATCCCTACTTAATTTTCCTGCGTTTGGTGAAGGAGAAGATGCGACATTATGTCGTATGTTAGAAGCCAGTGACACGTATCACCCGAACAATCTACGAATACGCAAGAATATAAGGTGGCGCATAGCAGTAGGCCTACTGGCCCAAAGAGAAAAAAAAAAAAAAGGTACAATACCGTGAATGAAACAACATACAAATAACCCGCACACGGAGAGAGAGAAGCTTATGACGTGTCGGTCCGACTTGGACCCTTTACAAGTCACACTAACACACGAAGGTGAGGGAGCCAGTATATATAGGCGGTATACTAGGCAGGTCCAACGCGCACTCACCCATGTATACATGTCCAATTCATTTTTAAGGAAGCAAAATTTCTCGTTTCAGTGACACTATTCAGCGGTCTGTTCCACTCATCCGCAAAACTCTATCGCCAAAACAGTGCTTGACAGACATGGTTACTGGTTATAAAACCGGCGTTATGTTCTGCGCATACCGCACCAGAGATGCTGATCAGTGTTATGAATTCTGCATCATAAAAGTTGGTGGATAGTCTATGCCAGGCATAAAATACGGAAACGCTGTTGGTCCGTCAGACTCTGATTGGTGGCATATGTCATGCTTTAGTGAGGCTCTCTGATTGCTTTTTCGGGGTAGGACGTCAGAAATTTTATTCTTCTGTGAAAATTGTTTTTCAATTCATCAGGCGGGTGTAAAAATGCTTCGGTTGCAGAGCTAAACCTACTCCAACAACCTAATTCAGTTAATGCAACCTAATAACCTAATCTCAGCTAGCCTAATAGCCAAATATAATCTGACCTAATCCATCCAGACTAACCTACTCTAACTTAAACCAAACCTAACCTAATGTAACGTAAACCAAACTTGACCTAACCTAATTTAACCAAACCTACTCTAACCATACATAAACCAGCCAAACATTATCAAATATTAAATCTGATATAAAATGTCTAATATAAAATCCAATATTAACACAGTTTTTAGCCTATGTGAAATTACGTTTCCCGAGGGGTCGGTGCTTATGCTGGCCTGTCATATCTCTCATCTAAAATTGAATAAAACAACCATCAATTATTGATATTAGACAACCCCGAAATCCGCGTAAAAATCCGTGACGTCACGCTTAATCTTTCTTGGGACTGGTCGCTTGATTGATGACGGTCTCGCTGACAGCCTTTGATGGATCGTGATTGGTTAGTTTTTGCCACATCAACACGTGACAGCTTTTGATGGACCGTGATTCGTCAGTTTTTGTGTCACAGTTTGCCACATCAACACGTGACGTCATACCCTCACAAAACAAGTAGTTCCAAAACAGAGTTTTCCATTGTCAATATAACGTATTTGTAAAATTCTTTTACAAAAGTTATTCTGCCAAAATATGAAATCATTCATGACTTAGAAACTTTCTTGCATAAAGTGATAAATTGAGTGGTTTACATACATAAAAAATAGGACAAGAGAAGCCATGTGGCATTCCAGTGTTGGGTTGCCAAACACCGCCTTATCACTAATGTATTCCTCCGCGACAGTCGTCGACGCCACAGTGAAACGCATATTTAATCGTGTCTTATTTCAGGGATCTTCATGTAATGGCTCCGCTGGGGCTAAGCAAGGATGCGTCACGTCAGTGAGGCCGTTGATGGACCGTATTGATGATGTGTCAGGAGGTTAATTAAAGAAATATGGAAATGAGTTACTACACAGCTCAGGGAAAGATAATGTTTAAATTGGAGCTCGGGGAGGGGGAAGGGGGTGAAAGTGGAGCAATGGTCCTCTTGCGAATGATCGATAAAATAAAAAAAAATATTCCTTTAAGTGAGTATCTATTAAAACTTTAGAGCTTTTCTCAAAAAAAGGATTAATAATAATAATAATAATAATAATAATAATAGTAATAATAATTCTAACCTAGTGGGTTTAGGGCTTGATTTTGATAATTCTTCGTCTTCTTTTCCGTTTTCGTCTTTTTCTGCTTATTATTATTACGCTATGATAGTGGCGGTGCAGAGGTGTGGACACTGCCATCTGGCAGACACAGGTTCGAGCCCACCTGAGACCAAGGTTTACAACAACACTACCTGAACTGACAATCTGTGTAATATTCGTTCTTTTCCATACATCTCTCAAGGAAAAATATTCCACCAGCGTTGGCTAGTTTTGATGTACACACACACACACACACACACACACACACACACACACACACACACACACACACACACACAAACAAACACACACACACAAATACCAATTAAACTCACAAGAAAAGCAAGGCAGCGCTCGTGCAAATTTAAAGACTGATAAAATTCTTCCTTAGAGAAAGAGTGAGAGAGCATGACACTGATATAAGTATATCTGGAGGACATGAATTCCACAGAGGAATTATGTACAGAGGAACCAGGAATGAAGACAGGAACCAGGAATGAAGATAGGAACCAGGAATGAAGACAGGAACCAGGAAGGAAGACAGTAGCCAGGAAGGAAGAGAGGAACTATGAAGGAAGACAGGAACCAGGAATGAAGACAGAAATAAACAATAATTATGTCCATGGAGAAACGCTAAACCCATGAGGGTCTCAGCGCCTGAGAAATGGGAAAGGGGGAGGAAAGGAGGAGGGAGGGAAGGTAGTAAGTTCTGATCCGAAGGAAGGGAGGGTTGACTCCCACATACAGGATCAAACACCTGTGGAACAAAGATACACGATGTGAGGATTGAAGACTAGGCTAGGCTAGGCAAGGCTATGTTAGGTTAGGCTAGGCTAGATTAGGTTAGGTTAGGTTTGTCAGGAAACAAGACAAGTGTTTCCTGACGCGGGGTCTTAGTCATATGATGACCCACAGCTGAAGCTTTTGGTCATCTGACCGGGCCTTCCGCTGGCTTACCCCTCCGCCCCTTTAAAAATTAGGGTTATAATTACTGAGGATTAAAGAAAGCAAGAGAGATAAAGAAAGCAAGAGGGATAAAGAAAGGATTCACGAAGATGACGGATATTATTATAGTATCAGAAAGAAGTGATAAAAACATGAAGAATAAAGGAGTGAAGGATAGGGATTCTTGTGAAGGTTCATAACCTTTCCAACCCAATTTTCGGGTTCCCTAAAAAATTCAGCTCGGGGGGGGAATATTAATTTTGGGGCGCCATTTTCACTTCAATGAAATGGAAGACAAACACAAGTGTCCAGCAGCCATTACTGGCAGACAGCATCACCCTGGGTTGTGTCTGCTGGTGTTCATCTGGCAGACAGCATCACCCTGGGTAGTGTCTGCTGGTGTTTATCTGGCAGACAGCATCACCCTGGGTAGTGTCTGCTGGTGTTCATCTGGCAGACAGCATCACCCTGGGTTGTTTTTGCTGGAGTTTATCTGGCAGACAGCATTACCCTGGGTTGTGTCTGCTGGTGTTCATCTGGCAGACAGCATCACCCTGGGTTGTGTCTGCTGGTGTTCATCTGGCAGACAGCATCACACTGGGTTGTGTCTGCTGGTGTTCATCTGGCATACAGCATCACATTGGGGGGCAGACAGCATCACCCTGGGGTGCGTATGCTGGTCATCAGCCAGGCAGCATCACCCTGGGGTGTGTCTGCTGGTCATCAGACAGGCAGAATCACCCTGGGGTGTGTCTGCTGGTCATCTACCAGACAGCATCACCCTGGTGTGTGTGTCCTGGTATTCATCAGCCAGACAGCATCACCCTGGGAATGTCACTCCTCTCAGTAGGATACAACAAGAGGGGAAAGTGACAAAAGAAAAGGCAAAGGAAGGGGAAGATGCGGAGGAGAGGAGAGGAGAATAAGAGCACCCGGGTGATGGGTAAGAGAGTACCCCAGGTGATGTGTGAGAGAGCACCCAGGTGATGTGTGAGAGAGCACCCAGGTGATGTGTGAGAGAGCACCCAGGTGATGGGTGAGAGAGCACCCAGGTGATGGGTGAGAGAGCACCTAGGTGATGGGTGAGAGCACCCAGGTGATGGGTGAGAGAGCACCCAGGTGATGGGTGAGAGAGCACCCAGGTGATGGGTGAGAGAGCACCCAGGTGATGGGTGAGAGAGCACCCAGGTGATGGGTGAGAGAGCACCCAGGTGATGGGTGAGAGAGCACCCAGGTGATGGGTGAGAGAGCACCCAGGTGATGTGTGAGAGAGCACCCAGGTGATGTGTGAGAGAGCACCCAGGTGATGTGTGAGAGAGCACCCAGGTGATGGGTGAGAGAGCACCCAGGTGATGGGTGAGAGAGCACCCAGGTGATGGGTGAGAGAGCACCCAGGTGATGGGTGAGAGCACCCAGGTGATGGGTGAGAGAGCACCCAGGTGATGGGTGAGAGAGCACCCAGGTGATGGGTGAGAGAGCACCCAGGTGATGGGTGAGAGAGCACCCAGGTGATGGGTGAGAGAGCACCCAGGTGATGGGTGAGAGAGCACCCAGGTGATGGGTGAGAGAGCACCCAGGTGATGGGTGAGAGAGCACCCAGGTGATGGGTGAGAGAGCACCCAGGTGATGGGTGAGAGAGCACCCAGGTGATGGGTGAGAGAGCACCCAGGTGATGGGTGAGAGAGCACCCAGGTGTGAGACCTCTACCCACTCTACCGGAGGTATCCCAGCGAGTGAGCACGTCTCCTGTATATCCCAGTGCTTAACAAAATAGGGAATAGCATATGAAGGTACAAATAAAAATGGGAACTATGGCTATAGTTTACTTAATAACATAAAAGGGCTAGAATACAACATATCCTGATGGAAATTTACACAATATAACAATTGGCCTATGAGACTTATTACCATGGGGAAGGGTAGATGTTATCAGTAACACGGACTAGTACTCACTCTTAATTCACCGACCAGCTGACCCGAGATTCCCAATGCGTGGTCCACCACACACGCGGCTGTCCAGAGCTCTCGCTCGACGGACCTGTCACCAACAACCTCCTTGCCCCGCTCTTCCCTGGGCTTATATCGTAGTCAAAGTACCCCCTCCCCAATGGTGTATGTACCACGTGTACGACCTGACGCCTAGGTCTGAGGCGTCAAGAACAAAAGACCTCAGACGTGGGCGTGGCTACAGACGTTTGTCAAGGCAAGGTGTGACCATATAATTGGTTAAATTAGGTCTCCCCAGAGACCTCACAAGCCCAGCTGGACTACATCACACAGGTGATGGGTGAGAGAGCACCCAGGTGATGGGTGAGAGAGCACCCAGGTGATGGGTGAGAGAGCACCCAGGTGATGGGTGAGAGAGCACCCAGGTGATGGGTGAGAGAGCACCCAGGTGATGGGTGAGAGAGCACCCAGGTGATGGGTGAGAGAGCACCCAGGTGATGGGTGAGAGAGCACCCAGGTGATGGGTGAGAGAGCACCCAGGTGATGGGTGAGAGAGCACCCAGGTGATGGGTGAGAGAGCACCCAGGTGATGGGTGAGAGAGCACCCAGGTGATGGGTGAGAGAGCACCCAGGTGATGGGTGAGAGAGCACCCAGGTGATGGGTGAGAGAGCACCAGGTGATGGGTGAGAGAGCACCCAGGTGATGGGTGAGAGAGCACCCAGGTGATGGGTGAGAGAGCACCCAGGTGATGGGTGAGAGAGCACCCAGGTGATGGGTGAGAGAGCACCCAGGTGATGGGTTGAGAGAGCACCCAGGTGATGGGTGAGAGAGCACCCAGGTGATGGGTGAGAGAGCACCCAGGTGATGGGTGAGAGAGCACCCAGGTGATGGGTGAGAGAGCACCCAGGTGATGGGTGAGAGCACCCAGGTGATGGGTGAGAGCACCCAGGTGATGGGTGACAGCAGACCTAATAAGCGAGAGTAGGGAAGGTGACTGCCGCTCTTCCTGATGAAAACTGTAATATGGTGATTGTAGCTTTATGAAAGACCCTGGGGGAGGGGGGAGGGGGGAGGGGGAGGAGGGCACACACGGCCCAAGAGGAAATTCATTCTCCAGTGCGCCAAAGAGAACACCTTCTTTGTCCCTTTTCTATATCTTTTTTTTCCCCTCCTCCCTTTCCTCGTACCTTTCACGGTTTCTCGACTTTTTTTTTTTTTTGCATCCCCTCCCCCCATCCTCTTGTGGTTATTTTTAAATCCCTATCTACCTTGTCTCCTGCCGTCATCTCTTTTTTTTATTATTCCTATCTTCTTTGCTTTCTCTTCCATCTCTCCCTCTATCTTTCCTCTTCCTCCCTGTCTTTCTCACCTTCGTCTGATCAGTTCTATCCACATACTTGTCGACTCACAAGACAAACTTTTGCAATACGCTTCCTGTAGTATGAACTAAGACTGACATGTCTGACTCGCTGTTTGATTATATGACATTTCCAATGTTTAGGTTACATGATACTTGGAGTTACTTAACGCATTTAACCTGAGCCTAGAAGTTCCTTAAATCCCCTTTAGCTGAGGCTAGAAGATGCTGACTCCCTTTTAGCTGAGCCTAGAAGATGCTGAATCCCTTTTAGCTGAGCCTAGAAGATGCTGAATCCTTTTTAGCTGAGCCTAGAAGATGCTGAATCCCTTTTAGCTGAGCCTAGATGATGCTGACTCCCTTTTAGCTGAGCCTAGAAGATGCTGACTCCCTTTTAGCTGAGCCTAGAAGATGCTGAATCCCTTTTAGCTGAGCCTAGAAGATGCTGACTCCCTTTTAGCTGAGCCTAGAAGATGCTGACTCCCTTTTAGCTGAGCCTAGAAGATGCTGAATCCCTTTTAGCTGAGCCTAGAAGATGCTGAATCCCTTTTAGCTGAGCCTAGAAGATGCTGAATCCCTTTTAGCTGAGCCTAGAAGATGCTGAATATGTCTCACAATAGTCGGTAAGTTACAGAAATTCGTTATATAGATAACGCATTTTTATCTGATAATAAGAATAATTTAATAACAAAAATATAAAAATGATAACAGCAATTATATAAGATGTTAGTTACCACATCGATCCTTGGCGTGGGACACTGACTGAGGCGAGCGTCGTTGGCTACGATGTCCAGGTCTCTTCCGGTGGGTGGCGGCACCGCTGCTGCCGCAGACGCCGCAGCGACGCCGGGGACGGTGGGACAGTGAGGAGCGTATCTACAGGCAGCGCCACACCAGGTACATCGGTACCGCGGGTGTCGCGTCACACACAGGGAACAGTCGTGGTGGCCGCGGTGCGCGCCCAACACACCACATTTGTACAGAGTGAGAAGGCGTGCATCCACAACATGGTCGCGGTTCCACACTAGTGTGACCCGAGCCTCGTACTCCCCCTCGGCGGACTCGTAGCGGTATACCGTGGGTTCGCACAGCACCCGCTGCACCCGCCGGTGTGGCTGCTGCTGGGTGGAGGTGATGGTGGTGGCTGGACTGCTGCTGCTGCTGCTGCTGGCTTCTTCAAGTGCCTCTTCCTCTTCTTCAGTGACCACCCTGGCACCCACCAGCATGGTGGCACCCTCGATGCTCACTACACACTGGAAACCCAGCTGACCCACCCGTGGCACCGGCAGGTTCTCCACAAGCAGCTGCAACTCTGAGCGAGCACCGTCAGCAGCCAGCAGCTGCGACTGTTCCGTCCAGAACCTCGGACAGAACCCAGACCCATGCGTCAACAGCTGTGCTGGGTTCTGTGGAAAACGAGTTGCTACATGTACTAGATATATTTAAAAATACAGAAAAATGTGCTAAGCGTTATTTCAGTGCTGTTTCAAACATTTTCTGACAAGACCTCAATTTTTAGCTAAAATATGCATATACGCTACTTGAAAAAAATGTAACTTGGCTTACTTTACCCATAAAATGTAATTGTAGAAAATGTAATTGTAGAAGCAGGTTACAAACGTATTTTTTCAATGTAACATAGTTTACAATTTTGCGTTGACATTACGTACCCATGTATATACCTATTTCTGTATTTAAAGAACATGGGATGCCAGGAGACGGCGAGTATTCAAACGGCCTGAGGGAGAAATGCAAATATTTTTCCTCGAAGTCTTTTTTTTTTTTTATCTAATTCTCCGAGGTTATGGGTCTTCCCCACAATCTGCACTAAAGGTGGACCTCATCTACCAGCGCATAGAAAGTTTGCTTTGCAATAAATGACTCTTTCCTACACTCGATCACTTTAACCGACAAGCGAACAATTGTCATCTCATGAACGTGATGCTATAAATATTAATTCTCTGTTTGTATCACATTTGTAAACTTTTATAATTACTGCTTAATGTCCATTACTGATTTTTTTTTTCTGAAAGGCTATGAGGAATTTTGTGTAATCTATGATTGACTCTGGCACCGACTGTCTCCCACACTTGTCTTCTATCAAGCTAAGTTCTAACACCTTCCTCAGATCTAGACAAAAAATATAGTTACCGGAATCCAACCTTTCATGGAAGGTTTCTTGACGCTCATGAGGAGTTTTTAATCCAAAGAAGTGGACCTGATTTCCCCTTTTGATCTGTTTTGACTCCCTCTCACTCCCCGCGGCACTGCATGATCCCCTACGAATTTAACCCCCGTAAATCAGCACACGCACAAATATTCCACCGAAATATCATATCTTACATTCTCTCCGGAGATGACAGTCCTCCTGCAGGAGGAAGCGTTATGGGTGCAGGTGTTCTCGTAGACGCACCAGTAACACGCCCAGTTACTCCGCACGCAGCTTCCGCAGGTGTTGTGGCGGCCGCAGTCGTAGAAGGCAAAGTTGCGGGAGACGAAGTCCTTGTTGGTCTCGCTGGAGCGCACGGCAAGCGGCACCAGCACGTGGTCGTGGTGGATGGGGATGGTTGGGCGGTGTGGGCGTGCGGGCGTCATACAGGTGAGTCCTGAGGCCGTCACCAGGGCATCGGCAGGGGGCGCTGATCCCCACACACACTGGTACTTGGCTCCTGCTGGCAGCTCCGGCAGCGTCCGGATCGTCAGTTGAACCTGGAGAAGGAAGAGTCATCCAACACTGAAATATTAAGGCAAAGAAAATGGATTTTTTTTAATTAACCAAAGCTTGATAGGCTAAAAATACATAGGTGAGGACACCTCTGTGTGTGTGTGTGTGTGTGTGTGTGTGTGTGTGTGTGTGTGTGTGTAACTCTCTCAACCGTGAGGAAGTGTGTTAATGTTGATATTTTTAAGCCTACATGTAAACTTAATATTTTAAAAAGTATAGGCCGTTTTTCACAGTTACCGTAAAAATTTCCAACACCCACCGATACAGATGCTTTCCCACCTTCCTAATATATAAATATATATATATATATATATATATATATATATATATATATATATATATATATATATATATATATATATATATATATATATATATTGTAGTGCTACGCAAACTTTATTTTTAGTAATATACAAAAAAGGTGAGCAGTGAGTGGTCTACCCTCACAAAGCCCTGGTTGACTCACCACAAAAATTTTGAACGAAAAATCAAAATCAAATTTGCTCATACAGCAAATCATTTACAGCGGCCCTAAAACTGGCCATTTTATTAAAAATGAAAAGAGCCGTATTCGCTGATGTAGATTTTTTTCTGCGTGGTATTCGGTAGCAATATGTTATTCACAATGCAAACTGTAGCGCAAATTATTACCCATTTTAACATAATATAACTGATAAATATTTTTGTTGCTTATGTGTTAGAAGTTCTCGGTTTATTTTCTGTCGTCCACGTCTGTGGTACGAGTGTGACTCTAAAGGCTGTTAAATGTTTTGCACTCTGGCAGGATGACTAGTCTATTTTTTACTGTCTGGGGAACGCCTAAGTTGACAGGTAATCTTCCTGGGTCATGAACACGCGAGATGAAAGGTAAATCTTTTAGTGAACACAATTGGTGAGAGTCAACTCTTACAGTGTGGTGAACACGTAAGATGGCTGGTAAATCTTACAAACTTTTAACTTTTACATGCATTAATAGAGCGCTGTATGGCCAGCATACACACACACATGACCCAGTAGCGACCAGTGAAGAGGCGGGGACAGGAGCTATGATTCGACCCCTGCAACCACAACTAGGTGAGTACATATATATATATATTATATATATATATATATATATATATATATATATATATATATATATATATATATATATATATATATATATATATCGTGCGAATAAGTAAAACTGATAATTAGCAAGAACTCGCTTAAAATTAAGTCCTTTCTAAGATTTTCTCTTACACCTTTAAAGACATATTTTCCATTTATGTTAATGTAAAAAATTAATAATTTTGTGCCGAAAGAACCTTAGAAAAGCGTTGCTATTGAAGCCAAAATCGCGTTTTACCTATTCGGCACCACACACACACACACACACACACACTCACTGTTCCCTCTGCCACCAACCCCCATATCACAAACCTCACCCCAACAGCTGTCCCTTATGGGCATTCTGACCCACCCCCATCAACACAAACCCCACCTACACCACAGCCCGATATAGGCCCCCACCAAGGCTCTCGCTCCCCCAACCCCAATATACTTGCATGACCACAATGATAGAAAAGAAACTAAGGTTTGGTACACAAACGCGGATGGAATAACGAATAAACATGAGGAGTGGAATGAAAGAATCAGTGAAAAATCCCCAGACATCATAGCAGTCACAGAAACAAAACTCGCTGAGACAATAACAGACACAATCTTCCCAACAGGATATCAGATCCTGAGGAAAGATAGAAGGAGTAGAGGGGGAGGAGGGGTTGCACTGCTCATAAAACACCAATGGGGATTTTAGGAAATGGAAGGCATGGACATGATTGGAGAAAGAGACTACATTGTAGGTACAATTCAGTCCGGAGAACATAAAGTAGTCATTGGAGTGATGTATAACCCACCACAGAACTGCAGGAGGCCAAGAGAGGAGTACGAAGAAAACAACAGGGTGATGGTGGACACACTGGCTGAGGTGGCAAGAAGAGCTCACTCGAGCAGAGCAAAGTTACTGGTAATGGGCGATTTCAACCACAGGGAGATCGACTGGGAAAACCTGGAGCCACATGGGGGTCCCGAAACATGGAGAGCCAAGATGATGGATGTGGTACTTGAAAACCTCATGCATCAACATGTCAGGGACACAACCAGAGAGAGAGGGGAGGATGAGCCAGCAAGACTGGATCTTGTGTTCACCCTGAGCAGTTCAGACATCGAGGACCTCACTTACGAGAGGCCCCTTGGAGCTAGCGATCATGTGGTTCTGAGTTTTGACTATATAGTAGAGTTACAAGTGGAGAAGGTAACAGGAACTGAAGGGGACAGGCCAAACTATAAAAGGGGGGACTACACAGGTATGAGAAACTTCCTGCAGGAGGTTCAGTGGGACAGAGAAATGGTAGGAAAATCAGTAAACGAGATGATGGAATATGTGGCAACAAAGTGCAAGGAGGCAGAGGAAAGTTTTGTTCCCAAGGGAAACAGAAATAATAGGAAGACCAGAACGAGTCCTTGGTTTACCCGAAGGTGTAGGGAGGCAAAAACTAAGTGCAACAGAGAATGGAAAAGGTACAGGAGGCATAGGACCCAGGAAAACAAGGAGATTAGTAGAAGAGCCAGAAACGAGTATGCGCAGATAAGGAGGGAGGCCCAGCGACAGTATGAAAACGACATAGCATCGAAAGTCAAATCTGACCCGAAACTGCTGTATAGCCACATTAGGAGGAAGACAACAGTCAAGGACCAGGTGATAAGGCTGAGGAAAGAAGGTGGAGAACTCACAAGAAACGATCAAGAGGTATGTGAGGAGCTCAACACGAGATTTAAGGAAGTATTTACAGTAGAGACAGGAAGGACTCTGGGGGGACAGACCAGATGGGGACACCAACAAGAATACACCAACAAGTGTTGGACGACATACATACAGATGAGGAGGAGGTGAAGAAACTGCTAAGGGACATCGATACCTCAAAGGCAATGGGACCGGACAACATCTCTCCATGGGTCCTTAGAGAGGGAGCAGATATGTTGTGCGTACCACTTACCACAATCTTCAACACATCCCTGGAAACTGGGCAACAACCTGAGGTATGGAAGACGGCAAATGTAGTTCCCATTTTCAAAAAAGGAGACAGAAAAGAGGCACTAAACTATAGACCTGTGTCATTGACGTGTATAGTATGCAAAATTATGGAGAAGATTATCAGGAGGAGAGTGGTGGAGCACCTGGAACGGAACAGGAGTATAAATGCCAACCAGCACGGATTCACGGAAGGCAAATCCTGTGTCACAAACCTTCTGGAGTTTTATGATAAAATAACAGAAGTAAGACAAGAGAGAGAGGGGTGGGTTGATTGCATCTTCTTGGACTGCAAGAAGGCCTTTGACACAGTTCCTCACAAGAGATTAGTGCAGAAGCTAGAGCATCAGGCGCATATAACAGGAAGGGCACTGCAATGGATCAGAGAATACCTGACAGGGAGGCAACAACGAGTCATGGTACGTAATGATGTATCACAGTAGGCACCTGTGACGAGCGGGGTCCCACAGGGGTCGGTCCTAGGACCAGTGATATTTTTGGTATATGTGAACGACATGACGGAAGGGTTAGACTCAGAAGTGTCCCTGTTTGCAGATGATGTGAAGTTAATGAGGAGAATTAAATCTGATGAGGACCAGGCAGGACTTCAAAGAGACCTGGACAGACTGGACACCTGGTCCAGCAAATGGCTTCTCGAATTTAATCCTGCCAAATGCAAAGTCATGAAGATAGGGGAAGGGCACAGAAGACCACAGACAGAGTATAGGCTAGGTGGCCAAAGACTGCAAACCTCACTCAAGGAGAAAGATCTTGGGGTGAGTATAACACCGAGCATGTCTCCGGAAGCACACATCAATCAGAATAACTGCTGCAGCATATGGGCGCCTGGCAAACCTGAGAACAGCATTCCGACACCTTAGTAAGGAATCATTCAAGACACTGTACACCGTGTATGTCAGGCCCATACTGGAGTATGCAGCACCTGTTTGGAACCCGCACTTGATAAAGCACGTCAAGAAACTAGAGAAAGTACAAAGGTTTGCAACAAGGTTAGTTCCAGAGCTAAGGGGAATGTCCTATGAAGAAAGATTAAGGGAAATCGGCCTGACGACACTGGAGGACAGGAGGGTCAGGGGAGACATGATAACGACATATAAAATACTGCGTGGAATAGACAAGGTGGACAAGGACAGGATGTTCCAGGGAGGGGACACAGAAACAAGAGGCCACAATTGGAAGTTGAAGACACAAATGAGTCAGAGAGATAGTAGGAAGTATTTCTTCAGTCATAGAGTTGTAAGGCAGTGGAATAGCCTAGAAAATGACGTAGTGGAGGCAGGAACCATACACAGTTTTAAGACGAGGTTTGATAAAGCTCATGGAGCGGGGAGAGAGAGGGTCTAGTAGCAACCGGTGAAGAGGCGGGGCCAGGAGCTAGGACTCGACCCCTGCAACCACAAATAGGTGAGTACAAATAGGTGAGTACACACACACACACGCCGTTACCTACGCATTCAGCCAGTCCTTCTCCCTTCAGGTTAATTAATTATCTTTACTCCCGAAACAGATCGCCTGGATGATCCTTCACCCTCACCATCACCCACCATCATCCATTGCTCTACCCACACCCTAAACACCTTCTTCGCCTCTAAACACTTAAGTGGAGAGTGTAAAGCAAGAACAAGCTACAGTGTTTGGTACATCAAGCGTGCGAAGTGTGGGATAAAGTAGAAGGAAATAAGGATACGAGATTGAACATTAAAATGGTATAAAATACCGACAGGTTGTTAGGTAAGACACATATGCAACAGTTAGGTATCTTTATTATGAAACGTTTCGCCTACCAGTAGGCTTCTTCAGTCAAGTACAGAAAAGTTGATAGAAGCAGAAGATACTTGAAGACGATGTAATCAGTCCATCACCCTTAAAGTTTTGAGGTGGTCAGTCCCT